AACCACATACATTATGTTATAGGATGATAATACTGGAATGCCTTCAGGAATGGCTGGTCTATTGAGTGCTCCACTGGTTTCAAAGGTAATGAAGAAAACTGCTCTTGTAAATTCATTCTTGATGGAGGAAATTGAATTAATTCAATCGTATGGTTTCACAGAAATCTCCTGAAGAGAGTGGATGTGGTAGGGTTCTTTTTGGCCAAGGTGAAACTCCAAAGGTAAGATTTCATGGTCTTAATTAGACAATGCAGCTTTTCTCTTTCCATACAGTATGCATGCATGCATTGAAGTTAATGCATTTTACTTAATCCAACAGCAGGAAAAYGTAGTTGCTCGACCAAGACCAAGAGATCTTTTTAACACCATGGAGGAGACAGAAAGATGTCGATCCAATACATACACAGCCAATGATGAAGAGAAGCACTTTGTTAGACCAAGATCAAAGTCTTTTGCACTGAAGGTAATAAGGCCAGTTTGTGAAAGATGATGATATTACTTGATGGAAGATGGTTCAGGCATAAAAARCAACAACAAACAAATACAATTAAAATAAAAATAGCAGCCAGTAAATGAACAATGTCAGACAGACTTGAACATTTAGTTTGTTGTTAGTGYATTGTTTGGATGTTTCATCAATTCTTGAGGAATTATTGTTATTAAGTCCAGATTTTTGAATTGCAGAGACCAAATCCACCAAGAGATCATCATCCAATGGAAAAGAAAAGATTAAGGTGAGAAAACTAAATTGATAATTTGCAAAAGAAATGGACACACTGCTGGGGACTTCTGGATATCAACAAGTAGTTYATAACTTGATAAASGCATTTAACAAAGGCTGTTATCCTATCATTGATTTATAATGTTTTTATCAGGCAACGCTGTATGTCGCTGGTTGAGAACAACACCATGATGCCGTCTCCACTACTGGTAAGTGAATTGTTGGACAGTCTTAACTTATAAAGATTGTGTTTGTGATGTTGTTCTCTTGTCTGTAGTCAAATAGAGTCTCCTTCAAGCACAAGAGCCCATTAAAGCGATCAAACTCTGAAGTATTTGAACACAGATCTGACTTTTCATTCCTTGGACAAAGTATGATATGAATGTTGTTTTTGCTAATGACAGATGTTGTTGTTGTTGATAATAGTGAAGAAGCTGATGTTCTTGTTGTATGTTGCTGTTCTTGCTGCTGCTGTTGTTGTTGCTGCTGATGTTGTTGCAATTGTTGTTTTTGTTTATAATGGTGATATGAAGCGGCCATTGTTCTTGTTGTATGTTGCTGTTCTTGCTGCTGTTGTTGTTGTTGCTGCTGCTGTTGTTACAACTGTTGTTTTTGTTTATAATGGTTAAGCAGTCACTGTTCTTGTTGGATATTACTGCTGTTGCTTCTGTTATTGCTGCTGCTGTTATAGAATGATGCTGTTGTTGTTACCGTTATGTTGTTGTTACGGTTATGTTGTTGAATCAGTATTTGTTCATATTGYTATCTTATTTCTTATAGTTCAAATAGTGTGTTTGCATGTGGTGATATCCAGTACTGTACTTCTCATGTTTTTCATGGCACTGTTGTAGTCTATTCAAGTACTGAATTACTTTTTGCTCTTCAGGTGGGAACAAGAATTTGATTGGAGATTTCAGTCGGGTAATGCTAAAGTAGATTTTGATACTGCTCCATGTGTTATCTATTGTTTCTCATCTTCTCTCTTGAAATTCATGTTTTTGGTACAAAGTAATTGAATTATGTTCTTCTTTGTGTTCTGTTCAGCCATATACCCTACCATTTATTGAAAAAGGACAGCATCAAGATCTTGTCGGCATCACACCAGAAACAGTAAGTTTAGTTTTTTTTACTGCTGGGAGTGTTTACCAAGTCTATTCCTTAGCAAATTAAAAATATTAATTTTCATTATATAGATGATTTCTAACGCATGCTCTGATTGGCCAAAAAAGTGCAATTTATTTGTTAAATATTTTTGCATATTATTTTTACATATTAGGTTGTACGAGTTATAAATGGAGAATTTAATGACAGGATAGAGGCACACATAATTGATTGTCGTTATCCCTTTGAATATAAAGGTGGACACATTAAGGTTGGTTATTTTTTTTGCAGCTCTCTGTCTTTTCTAAGCTCTAGATAGCTTGAAAATACAACTGCATTTTGTCCCCTGCCTTTTTTTCGCACTCTGACATTTTAGTTTTAATGAGTAGCTGTATTTGAAAGTTAAGCTTCATGTAGTTTCTCTTTTTGATAAAATCTTTGATTGTCATTCAGGGAGCAGTAAATATCTACAGAAAAGAGGATTTCTATGATGAATACCTGAAGAAACCTAAACACTTGGAAAACAAGCAACTTGTTTTGATTTTTCATTGTGAATTCTCATCAAAACGTGGCCCTGACATGTAAGTGTGGAGTCAATAAGTTGTTTATTCAAATACATTCTCATATCCAGACCCTTCTTTGTTTCCCAATGGAAAATCAAAGGCTYTGGTTGTAGTCTATACTAGAAGACTCAGAATCTGGGCCATATAATATTGTACACAGAAATGTTTTAACCAATCAAATCAAAGACTCAATCGTCAACAACCAGAGTCTTCATCTGCTTACTTCGTCTGCGTTCACTTTAGGTCAAGATTTCTAAGAAACCGTGATAGAGATATTCATGGGAAGGACTATCCAGCTCTTTACTATCCTGAGTTATACCTTCTGGAGGGTGGTTATAAAAACTTCTTTTCAAGTCATAAAGTAAGTCCTTTGSCACATTTTAGTCACTTTCTTAACTGTCAGAGTAGCTACGCTTAATCAATGAAACACCACTGAGTTAGATGTTGGAGAACTTGTTATAGATTAGACTTACAAGTCCAGACAAAATTGRCATTGTGCATTCAATAATAGTCTGTCGTCAATCCAAATATTTAAACAAACCAGATGTTGGTGTCAAAATACTTAAGTTGATTGACAGTAGTCTAGTGCTAATTGTAGTTTTATCTGGACTGGTCGTGTAGCAATGCAATGGACGAAAATCCATGAAATATAGCAGACAACCACTAAGTACTATGCCTCACTATGATTGTAATTGACCCATTACTTACTAACAACTAGTGTTTCATGTGTAACCACTCTGCTGTAGAATCAGTTTAGTATTCTTAGTTTATATTGCTTTATTTCAGGAATACTGTGACCCTCAAGAGTATGTTCTAATGATTGATGAACGACACTCAGAAGATTTAAAACTTTTCTCTAAAAGATCGAAATCTTGGTCAGAAGGACATGGAAAGAAGTCATTCCGCCCTGGCTTAAACTACAGATAATTCCAATAATATTCCTTTTGCTCTAGTCAATTCTAACTTATTCAACTCATATTCTAATTATTATTAGTAATTATTAATTTCAATGATGACGATGTATGATACTAATTGAATTAGTGTTTCGTGTGCTTTATAAATATTGTGTATGATATTTAGTATGTAAATACATGTAGCTAATAAACTTTTCTCAAACTCATGATGGCTAACTATTCCTTTAAATMTTGATCCTTTGATTTTGACTAAATTCCAAATAGAATTAACCACTTGCTRTTCTTTCATGGACAAAGGAAAACCAATCAAACAGCAAGAAAATACTGATAGAACAGAGACTACAGTATYGAACAGTCATTTCCATAGTCGCGACTGTAAATTAGCTAATATGTAACAGTTAAAATACTA